TATATATGATATATATTTAAGTATGGTTTCAAATTATTTGCAAATGGTTTTAATTCCCGGGATCCATGTAAGTAGAGAGTGCAGCACTGTTCCTTGTAGCCGAGGGAGAGGTCCTTTCTTGTCGGGCAGTGCTTGATCATTCTAGGCTGAGAGGTTAAGTGTAAGGCCATTTGGGATAACACCTGATGGGCTAATCTTGCACCTGCCCACAGTCCCTGGGTTTTTATAAGATGGCTTGGCCCCGGGACCACTTAGTGTAAGTGTTGGGCCCTAGGGTCCATATGATGGGCTCAAGGGGTTCACTGGGCCCTCTAGTGAATTCGGCCAGGCCTTGTAACAGAGGCTGGGCCGAACCCATGTGGTTGGTGTGTAGATCAATGTTGGGTAGCAGTTTGAAAGACATTTGAGCACATAACCTTATTGGGCCTAAAGTCCATTTCGAACTGGGCTAATTTGATCAGTCAATTTTAAGGGGCGGATCTGAGATTAGGATGATCCCAAAAGCTTATCTAATCTACAGATAGGATTAAGGAGAGTCCTAATCCAAATACAGATTTGGATAAGGGCAACTCCTGATATGATCAGGAAATCTTTTCTTAATCATTAAGCAATTGGAGGAAACTCTATTCGAATGACAAGAATTCGAACCCTAGGGACACAGAACACACCCTACAGTTTTGTGAGATAGGAACTCAGAAACCCTAGAGTAAAGAAAAGCAATTTGCCATCTTTTTCTCTAGCTCCCTCCTGTTGCAGCCGCCACCATCTGTCTCAGTTCGTTTTCTCTGTCAGAGAAAGATCAAGAAAAGTTCTTGACATCAGTCTTTGTTGAAAGGATGATTCGGTTTGGTGCTCATTGTCATCCAAAGGAATCTTCTGAAGGATTCAATGTGTATGACACACCCTGCTGGTTCTGTTCCACAGTTGCTGTATCATCTTCAGCAGGAGCAGATCTTGGTGCTTTCTTTGGGCGTGAACACCAACTTTGGGAGATATTATTTCTTTAGATCAGGTATAATTATTCCCTTCACTTTTGGTTCAGATCTGGTTCGGTTCTGGTTCAAGTAGGATCCTTGAATCTTGATTCTAAAATTAGGAAATGCGATTCCCAATTGAAAGGTAGGTAGAAAATTTTTTAAATTCGCCCACCCATTCCGCAACTGTTTTGGCGTCCATACAATGGATTCTACCATCCCTTTCAATTCCCATGAACCAAACAGGGTCTAAGATGGTTTGGTTGGTCATGTGCATAGAATACCACTTACAACACTGATAGGAAGAAGTGGTCTGTTATAAGTTGAAGGGATCATACGGGTTAAGAGCAAACAAAAAGAACAAAGGTTGAAAAAATAAGAAATGATTTCAAGCACTCATAATTTAACAGTGGATATGGCATTGACAATGGATAATGGTCAAATAAAATTCATATGGTAGAGCCCATATGATTGGAAATTCGGATAAGGTCAAGGTTCAAAGTATCAATATGTATCACATTGTATCATGTGTATCATATTGACATCTAGAGTCATCGAAACTAAAATACTAAAGGTCCATTTGGGTCATAATTGGAATTGGAATCAAAATGGTCTATTCTTATTAGTTTGTTTGGTTCAAACAAGAATGGGAATGAGAATTAGGATCAGCAGGAATGAGATTTCATTCCCAAGGGAGGGGCAGGGAATGACCATTCCCTCAAATGGGGGAATGCCATACCAGCAGGAATGAAAATGAGATTTCAATTCCACCCAACCAAACAGTTGGAATCGGAATAACCCATTCCAATTCCGATTCCAAACCCCTATTCCTACGAACCAAACGGGGCCTAGGATTTACGAGTTAGGGGATGTTAATGGTTTCAACTGTAAATACCCATCTTAAGAAACCCATTTATAAATAACAATCTGAAAAAAAAAATTAAAAAAAAGTGTGTCGACTGGTTGAAACACACTATATGCTAATTTTTTTATATGGTGGGTATTACTATTTTAAATCTTGATGAGACATACTAAAATACTATTTCTCACTAAGAGATCCAATTAGGGGTGCTAAGTTGGATGAATTGGGCCAGTTTTAAGGTCAACCTAGGCCGAATTGGTCTTAGGCTTGAGCTCGAGGTCCAACCTGAATTTGTCCAAGCCCAGGCTTAACTCAAACCGAAGTATTACTACTCGGGTTGGGCCCAGCGCCAGACCAGGCTTGGATTGGTCAATCAGGCTAAGGTGGGCCTATTATGTACAATGTATTAAACAGTTGCATATATATATATATATATATATATATATATACCCCAGACCAGGCTTGGGGTTTTGGGCCTAAACTCAGCCCAAAGACCGAAAATTCAAAATGTAAAAATTGTGGACTACGCTAGGTCCAACACGCTAGAATCTACATGTCTGGTTAGTAAGTAGTAACGGCAATGTGAGTCTTCACGGCAACTCTAGCATTTGAACCATTCGTATCCCAAACAATTAACCACTAATAATTGCTTCATGTATCTTATTAGTGGGTAATTTACTTAATTTTGCACTATACAAGTAATTAGCATCATATACCAATAGGCTTAAAAAATATTATTTACCAATAACTAAGATGTGCTCAAGTAGTTACTATCCATGCAACAGAACTTTGGTAAATACTTAACCAATTACCATGAATTTATTTTACTTAGATATGTGATTCAGGACTCGGCCAGTCTGAGAATATTTATCTGATTAAACTATAAGGCTGCATTTGATTGCAGTGCAAATTTGAATCAGATATAAATTTTTTACCCACTTACACTCTTATTTTATGTAAAATTTGTACTTTTTATCTCATTTGAACTTATTAGCAATGTAATTTTTTGTCTAATTTGTTTTAATAACTGTTGCAAAATCTGCATCACCTTCTTACTTTCTACCTCACTCCCAAACAAATAATCCACCTCTTATTTTCATTCTCTTGTTGGTCTTGTCTAAGGTAGGACACACACACCATTTTACTTTATACAAACAAATAAGACAAGGTCAAATCTAGAAAAAAGAAAACCAAAATTTACACTCAATCTATTTGCAAACTTCAATTAAGGGTAGATATGAACCAAGCTTTCAAAGACTATTTGAGTTCGTTCCGTGAAAAGCTCATTTTGGTTTGGATTAAACCAAGCTTCAAACCGAATTCAAGCTTAATATATAGGCTCATTTGTTAGTAAAGCCAAACTCAAGCTTGAAAGTTTAATCGAGCTTATATATTATTTTAAAAATAATTTTTATATGTATAATGTTTTTTTTTATTTTATATATAAGCTTGATTGACTCTCGAGATGGAGCTAGAGGTGTAAATCGGGTCGTGCCGCCTGTGGCCTAGCACGAACTTGGACTGGCCCGGCACGACCATGTGGGCCGTGCTGGGCCTGGGATTTTAGGTCTACGAGCCGCACGGCACGGCACGGCATGACCGAGCGAGCCATGCCACCCGTGGGTTGGCACGGCCTAGCCTGCAGCCCGACCTAGCATGGCCCAACACGGCCCATATATATTTTATATATATTTATATATTATAATTATATAATAATATTTAGTGTATAATATATTAATAAAATAAATATATATTTTTAAATTTTATTATACTAATTTATTTAATTATTGCATATATAAACAATTTTATACACAAATTTCATATAAAATTAAAATTTTAAGTTTTTTTGTCAATTTTTTTTAAATAAATAGCTTTGGCCCGATACACGGCCCGACCGGGCCCAAGGCTCGGCACGGGCCCACATGGGCCTGGGCCGTGCCGGGTCGACCCCCAAAATTTTCACCAGGGAGGGTTTGTGCGGGGCCGCCCACAGGTCGTACCGTGCCGGCCTGGCACGGCCCACTTTACACCTCTAGATGGAGTCAAGCCAATCTCAAACATCTAGGGGCTGTTTGGCAAGTCTTTTTGGGAAGATCTTTTGGTAGTTCTGACAGTCAAAAGACGCATTGAGCTTTTGCATGAAGATCTGAGCAGCCCGAAGCTAGTTTGGTTACTACGCGTCTCTCTGTGTCTTTCCGAGTGAGAATAAAGCGAGAAAGATGTGAAAAGCTCCATTTGAAACTTCCCAAAATGGACTTCTCATGTCTTTTCGGTATACCAACTTTTGGCAATTAGATCAGTTACGAATCAAATGGAAAAAGAATGCAACGCAATCTACCCAGCTTGTAAACAGTCGAAAGACTGCACAGAAAGACACGCCAAATCAGGCCCTAATCTTTTGAATCGAGCTCAAATCTGAACTAAAACCTCATATTTTTCTGTCGTAACTGCAACATAGTGCAGTCTAATGTTTCAAAAGGAAAACAAATAGATCTCTCAATTTCAATTTCACAACTTGACCCATGTCAAATGGATAAGGGATTTCAAAGCTTTCTGTTGACTGTTGCTTCAACAATTTCACACAAGAGAGAGTTGTAATGTTGAGTGAGTGAAAGAGTGGAACTCACCCTAATCAAACTATAATAAAAATTTAATAGCAATTAATGATTCTTCTCATACAGGGATTGAGGCGTAGCACAGGTAGAGATCCAAAGCGAATCGACCTCAGCCATAAGTAAAAGAGTAAGGACTGAGCTAGTCATAGGGCAAATAAATGGCTAAACTCTGAACTCTGAAGCTGAACTACTGTGGAGATCGAGCTTGTGAGGACAAGCCGAGCCACGCATTGCTTCTGCCTTCAGGCGGTTTGGAGTTGGAACTGGACGGAGCTGCTTCTCCTTGTGAACCCAATCCCAGCCATGTCCTACCTTCTTCCGGTCTGGATGAACCGGAAGGAGCTTCTCTTTGTGAACCTAATCCCAGCCATGTCCTGCTTTCATCCGGTTTGGAATTTGAACCGGATGGACCTTCCTTCTCACCCGAGTTGCCCACTTCAGCCGGTTTTGAACTAGAAGGACCTTCTTTCTCACCCGAGCTACCCGCTTCAGAACCCGGTTTAGAACTGGAAGGAGCTTCTCCCTCACCCGGGTTGCCCACTTGGTAGGGTACTTTTGCCCCAATCCTGCAAATTTTCAACATAACAACTGATCAAACATTAATGGGTAGATTTAAGTAGTCTGGTCTCAGTCTTCTCACAAATGAAATCGTAGCCATCCAATCTTGTCAACCCTTCCCTCACTAAATGGGGCTACTATGGTACGGTAGTCCGTATGTACGGTATAGATGAAAATTACAGTAAAACACACAGCTTAAACATGAACTTCTATTTCTGGTTTTACTTCACGATTAATTTTTGTACAATCTCCATTAATACTCTGAAAAAACACAGCTTAGAAGCCATTAAATATACCTGTCTTTCCTCTTCTCCAAGAACCTGTGGAGTGAAACTCTCCTTGCAATCGGCAGATCTGCAACACATGACAGTTAAAACAAATAAATAAAACGAAATATTCTCGATCTTATTGGGATTAGCTTTTGATTGAAGCAAAAGAAAAGAAAAATCCTATTTTGCTTCTGAAAATGTTAAAATCCCAAGTTTTTCGATTCAGAAAATCGTAAATTTTCGAATGCATTAGATACCCAAGAGACCAAAAATTAAAAAAAATATGTTTTCAAGAAGAAATTTCAGCTCTGAAAAAGGGTGGCATACCTGAACTACTGGGTTGAGGAGGTCGCTGAGGCTGAGCTCGGTCTTGGTTAGGATTGTTGGTGGCAGAGGGAGGAACCAGATTGGAATTGGAACGAGCAAGGCCGCCGGAGTTGTGTTGGTCTTTGCCTTGGCTAGGATTGTTGGTGGCGGAGGGAGGAACCAGATTGGAATTGGAAGGAGCAAGGCCGCCGGAGTTGTGTTGGTCTTTGCCTAGGTTGGGATTGTTGGTGGAGGAGGCAGGAATCAAGCTAGAATTGGAAGGAGCAAGGCCGACGGAGTTGTGTTGGTCTTTGCCGGAAACAGTATCGATGCTGCCGGAAGCCGGGGTCTGGATGGCACTTCCTTTGCTAGCTAAAACCATGAGCTCCTTCGCCTTGTCCGCCGGAAAATCGTCGTATACATGTACTTTTCCAGCGTAAAATATCGTCATCTGGGCCTTCTCAGGCTCCTTCGTCGCCGGTCTGTTTTCACAGAATACAAGAGAGAACTTAATCAACTACTTAAACGTGCTGTACGTGCATGGTAATTACAAATTAATTAGTGAGTTATACCTGAAATCAGGTTTCTTTGTTGTGTCTTCGGGGGGATTGGGTACTCGGAAACTGGCTTGCTGAGGAAACAAATCCATGGATTTGACCTCTCGAGATGGGGCGTTTCGGTCTGAATCAGACTGTGTTTCCAACACCGGCAACAGATTCAAATTCATCGTTTCCGGCTTGCTTGAACTCGAAGTTAAAATTGAACCTATGGATATATAATATTTTCAGAAATGAATTTTAGTAGATCATTTTTATGAGATTCTCGCAACAGTTGAAAGAATTAACAGATTAAGAGAAAGAGAAAGAGAGAGAGATCGAAATGAGCTGAGCAAAACAAGAAAAGATCTGACAATTCTTTTTTTCAGGGTTTCGTAGAAAATCGCACCCAATAGAGGAAAGATTTCTATTTTAATCAGGTAGGGTTTTGCCGTTTTAAACAGCAAAACACGAATCTGATTGATAAAAATAAATTTTTCTAAAAAAAGAAAGAACCATCCACCCTAATCTACCGACAAAAAAAAGATTAAAACTATAAACAAAATCACCAAAGAGAAAACAATCACTGGACAATAAAAAACAGATCGGATTTCACAGACGCAGTCGAAAACCAGCTCAATCAAGACGACTCACCCCAAATCACGATTACATACCTTTCCCGTCAAGACTGGAGCCGATTCCGAGGCTGAGATCTCCCAAACTCCCCTTCTCCTTTATATACTGGCTCAGCAGACTACACGTCTGCGTGAAATTCGACTTCTCCGTCAGCCCCCTCACCGGCCTCCACCCGGCGAACCTCCCGGTTTCAGTCAGGTCCGGCGCTCTTGACATCTTTCCCGATCAAATCAAACCCCAGAAACAGAAAACAAAAAAAGAAAAAAAAACGATTCAGATGGCCAAAATAATAACAAAATCCGAGCTCGATTGACGATAAATCCTATTTGGGGCCAGTTTTAAGAATTTATGGGGTCTGGCTTGCAGCTTGCTGGTTCACTGAACACCTCCAATGACGCTAATCATGATTGCAAATAAAAATGATTTTTTTATTGCACAGATTCACGCACGTGTTTTTTAAGTTTCAAGAAACGCATGTCCACTAGCTGGACAAAGCAGATAGGAAAAGACATTCTGCTTCTTCTTTGGCTGGTGCTTGCACAGACTTTAGAACCTTTTAATATTCATGTTCCCCACACCGGGCCCACCCTACCGACGCCTCGCGATTTACGGCCGAGATCGAGGGGCTGATTAGGATGGGGCCACGTCGATGACCGTACTGTTAACAGTCAATGGCGTTTGATGTACTCATCACGGAAAAGCTGACAGCGCGCGAAAATAGTTGCGCCATCGTACAATGATTTCCTTGTGCGCTCTGATCCTCTCACATGTAATTCAACCGCCCATGTGCTGAGATGTGGTTTGTGGTTTCTAACCCTCGGATTGGAATCTACTTTCGTTAGTTTCGTATCGTACTGTCAAATTCCCGACAGGACGTGAGTCACGTTACATCATTCCCGGCGTTGGATCACGGGTCAAACGGTCTGACCGCTGGGTCAATCTCTTGAGCCGTTGCCATCGCACTTAAATATATAGTTTTGCATGTGTGACCGGAGTCCGGAACACATTCCAACAAAATATATGTTCCAACGTATTTTGGATTTATTTGTTTTTTAAGAATTTATTTATTTATGTGACGAGGGGTAATTTGGCACGATTTAGTAAATAAAGTTGATATGGACGCGATTTGACCGTAGGATGAAAACTCAATAAGGGGAGTCTAGTCAGTAGTATGCGGAGTTTGGATATTTGGTCATTTCGGCATAATGTTATCTCGGCGCCTAATCGAGTTTGGGGCCCAGGAATCGAAGTGACACGTAATCAATTCCAGTAACTTCCCAATAGACTCTGAATATTACGAGATCACACCGCATAGCGACAAGTTTTATCTTCTTCCCGCCTGGATCGGGCGACAACAATAAGGTCCATTGACTGATACGTTACTCCCCAACTAAAGTGGAAATGGATCTCGTCCATTTAGGCTGCAGATCTCGGAACTATTTCGAGAAACCAGCGATAGCTCAGCTATATAAAGGCATTAATCTCTTCATGGTCCAGGTATGCGCGATTACTTGCATCAAAGTTCTCTAGCACTCAAATTCTAGCTCGCAACCACAACAAAATATTGACTTAAGCATCGGAGCGACCTCCCCGGGTCATCCACCCCAGTCACTCTGATTTTGTTTTGTAGTTTGCTCCAACTCATCACTTGAGTAGGTCTAGGTAACCCTCCAGCTAGGAGCTTCCAGATCGCGCATCGGCGCCGTCTGTGGTAAACGACCAAAAGGTCATCCCAATTTTTTACAGTCTCAAACTCAGTCTCAACCTCAATGGCATCATCCACCCACAACGGTAAGGGTAACATGAACATCACTAGGGGGAAAGAGCAGCAGATAGTCGCTCCTCAAGGACCCTCGGTGACAATATGCTAGTTCACCATTCCTCTGACCGCATCCGGGGTCCCATCACTGTCCGCACCCCACAATACCCAACAGGTGAGTGTCCCGCTCCCCCAGGTGAGGGCCACATTGTCGGAGCCTTCCGTGATAACCCCTGGAATTGGGCACTCCCAGTTCAGCGACCTCGTCCAGAGTGTTCCGACAATGTAGATTCAAATGCAGCAGATTCATTAGTTCCAGCAATATTATTTTTATCAAGAATATTAGCAGCAGTTCCCACCACTGCAACCAAGCTAGCCGACGAACAACCAACGCCATAACGCTCGTCAGTCTCCCCCCCGCAGGGAGAGAACTTGGCAGGTACTGGTCCCCCCTTCAGGACGAACCCCGCCGCAAGGTGTCGTAGGTGGCTGACGTACTCCCCCTGCTTCCCGAAGAGAAAGCTCGAGGAATAGGCCCGAACCCAGCCAGCCCGAGAGGCACAACCGGCAGATTTTCCACGTGGAGCATCAACCCGAGGTCCGAGGTGTAGGCTCCAAGGGAGACCCTTCGGTTCCTCACAATAGCCAGCATCGAACGCACGACGAAGAGGAAGGGATGAGGAGAATCTCTGAACCAGCTCGCCCTACTATTCGAAGTAAGATCGAAGTGCCTAACAACATGGAGGCCGACAGTATGAATGTCGCTCCACCAAAAAAGGAGCAGTAGCGACATCACAAGAATCTCCGTTCATTAGCAAGGAATGATCCAGTAGCAAAGCCTAGCCATCCAACAGATCAAGGTCGGGAAAGAGAGGAGGTGATCTCGGTGGCCACAGGAACAACGCCTGCTCTTTTGAGCCGGTCTTCCCCCCTGTCACCTAAGCTTCTAGTGGCCCCATTGCCAAAAAATTTCAAGGTCCCGCTGCTAGACAAGTACGATGGGTCCTTTGATCCTAATAATCACGTGGACGCATTCCAATTCTAGATGCACCTCGTCAGGGCCGACAAAGCTTGTATGTGCGTGGCTTTCTCTACCACACTCAAAGGAGTAGCTCGGACTTAGTACAAAAACCTAGCATCAGGTTCCATCAGAAGTTGGGCGCAGTTCACAGATATGTTTACGGCCCACTTCATCACTAGTAAGAAGTGCCTGTAGTCACATGAGAGCCTTCTAAACGTGGTGCAGAGGGAGGGAGAGTCAATCTGTATTTATATCAAACGCTTCAACGAGACATGCCTGCAGATACCGGACATTGACCCTGCATACATCTCACCGTAGCGCGCAAAGGCATCACCCACAAAGAGTTCAAGTAACACGTCGCGGCCAACAAACCAAAGAACATCACCAAGTTCCTCTAGTTGGCAGATCAGTTTATCAACACTGAAGAGGAGATAAACTAGAAAATTGACAACCAGCCAGGAGAAAAGAGAGAGAAAGAGGAAGAAGGGACGAACAACAAGAAAAGAAAAAAAAAAGTAAGTCCCCGAGCTCGAGGAGCAAATCCCCTTCGCAAAGTTACAAGTTGGGTCAGTGTTCCAAGACCCCTCTAGTGGAGAGGACGAACTATACTCCCTTGAGCACGAAGCGAGGAGAGATCTTAATGGCAATCAAGGACTCCTATATTGTCAGATGGCCACCCAGACTCTGCGGAGACCCAACGACCAGGAATCCGAACGTCTTTGGTCACTTTCATCGGGACCATGGTTATAGGACAGAAAACTGTAGAAACCTCCACGATGAAATTGAAGAACTGATCCGTCGTGGGTACTTGAAAAAGTACATTCCACATGTGGAAAAGGAATAGGGGAGCCGACAGAGAGATCAGAAAAAAGATGCCCCAGAGAGCAGCAGACAGAACGAGCAGCCACCTCGCTCGCTACCAGAAGAAAGACCGATCCGCGAGGTGATTAATATGATCACCAAGGGATCTATTGTAGCGGGGTGCACAATAGCGGCTGGGAGAACATCATTTCGAGAACTAAAACATGAAGTAGAGAACCTATCCAAGCGATCTCGAATCGAAGAACCGATCTACTTTACAGAGGACGATGCCCGTGGGATCCAATATCATCATGGCAATGCCCTGGTTGTGAAGATGGTCATCAATGACTTTGAAGTAAGGCGGATCTTGGTGGACTCAAGTAGTTCGGTCGATATCCTCTTCAAAGAAACCTTTGACAAGCTGTAGTTACAACAGAGCGACCTAAAACCAGCAAATGCCCCACTAGTAGGGTTCAGCGGAGAGGAAGTTAGGCCTATAGGTCGTGTCACAGTACCAGTGGAGGCGGGCACGTGGCCAAATATTGTCTGGTTCGAGCACACATTCTTGGTGGTCACTACTCCATCCCCATACAACGCAATCATAGGTTGGCCTATTATGCATGTTTTATGCGTAGTAATGTCGACTTACTATCTTGCGGTGAAGTTCCTAATGGATTGCGGAGTGGGAGTAGTACGTGGTGACCACCTCGAGTCCTGGAGGTGTTATGTAGCTGTCCTCAAAGGAAAAGCAAAGTTAGCAGAGGACGTCGAACTGGAGCGACCGATCGACTACAGCGAGGAGCTAGCTGCCCCGATGGAAGAGACGATCCACATACTGTTGTCAGAGACCGAATCGACCAAGACTCTCCAGATCAGTGCACTCATAAGCGAACAACTCCGAAAACTGAACATGTGCGCCGAATACACCGATCTGAACAGAGCTTGCCCAAAGGATTGCTTCCCCCTACCCCAAATTGAACGCCTGGTAGATGCGACCTCAAGGCCCGAGTTGCCGAGTTTCATGGATGCCTACTCTGGCTATAACTAGATTAGGATGGACACGACTGACTATGACAAAACTGCTTTTGTAACCGAACTAGGGCTATACTGCTATAAAGTTATGCCCTTTGGTTTGAAAAACGCTAGAGCAACCTTCCAATGACTTGTAAACAAAAATTCACCCTTTGATTGGCAATAAAGTGGAGTGTTATGTTGACGACATGGTCGTGAAGACCTAGGTCTCTAAATCTCTAATTAACGATTTAGACGTTGTTATTCGAATTTTGAAAAAATATAATATGAAATTAAATCCAAATAAGTGTGTCTTCGGAGTCACTTCGGGAAAATTTTTAGGCTACATAGGCAACCGACGTGGTATCGAGCCAACCCAGAAAAGGTAAAGGCAATTATAGATATGAGACCACCTCGGAAAATAAAAGAAGTTCAGAGGCTGACTGGCCAGGTAGCAGCCCTAAGCCGTTTCATGTCTAAGTCGGCAAGTCGATTCCTCCCCTTCTTTAAAGCAATTAAAAGGAATGAGACTTTCGAATGAACTGAAGAATGCCAGCTCGTGTTTGACGAGCTTAAAAGGTATCTAAGTACCACCCCAGTTTTAACCCGACCTGAGGAAGGAGATGTTTTGAAGTTGTACCTCTCCGCGAGTGACGAGGTAGTCAGCTTTGTACTAATTAGGGAGGTAGACTGGGTTCAACGGCCCGCCTACTATGTAAGTAAGGTACTGCAGAATGCAGAGACTAGATACCCTGACATCGAGAACCTGACGTACGTGCTAGTGGTAGCAA